CCCAGAAAGATATAAAGACGCCAAAGAAGCGGTTGAGCGTGCTGTAGAAAGGGACCATGAGGGGATCGGCCGAGTCCCAAAGCAAAACGTTCCAGTCAAAGGTCGGGAACGGGTTGACGCCGAGGCCATGGTTGATGCCAGTGATGACATTGAGGTCGCGATTGTGGGGGGCAATCCACGACATCCAGTTGAACCTGGACAGGGCCGTGAAGATGTAGTTGGGGAACCAGAACCAAACGAACATGGCGCCGAACATGATGTAGAAGAACTTGATGCGAGATACCTTCCACTTCTTACCAAAAGGCCCCTCTACAGGAGCATTGGTTTCGTTGTGAAAGGCCTTGTTGAGGGCAATGGTGACGAGAGAGGCCGGCCACACGCAGTACGAGGGATAGACCAAGAATCGTCGACAGATGCCGGCCATGCCGTAGCCAATAAAGTTGGTGGCCAGTGCAATGAGCAGTTGGTAGGCGACGTGGGACGCATAGGGCTGGTTGAAGTACTGTGGCAGATACTGCACCCATATGATGTTGTTGGTGTAGGGCGTGTTGTATGCCACGTTTGCCATGATGGTGATGAGCATATGTTCCTTTTTCGAAAAGGGCCCTGGGTTGAGGGAGTGGTAAGTGCCAAAGAGGGTGAAGCCGACATCTGGCAGCCAATTCTCGCAGGCCTTGCCCACTGGGTAGGACAGCAGCTGGGCTACGTTGGCCATGACGCGGATGGCGGGCTGGCGAATATCGAATAGCTGGTTGATAAAGGCCAGGAGACAGCTAAAAGCCAGACCAATGGCCCAGCTGCGGATCGTTGAGCACGGCGTAGTGATGTCGTCCTTGTTGCTGACGACGGCGCGGACCTCTGCATATGGACTGTTGCTTGTGACAAGAGCGGCTTCCAACTTCATCTCCTGAATTAGATGTTGATGCTTTTCGGGGTTGGAAAAGACGGATTCGTTCTCGAGAAAGGCCTTGATCTTGAGGATAATGACGGAGGGGAAGTTGTGGTCCTTTTCGTGGACGCGAAAGACCCGGGCCATGATGTCGCGGACCTCTTCGAGCGTATACCGGGAGGCGAGTTCCTGTGCCTCGAGCAAATCATCTTCGGTAACATTGAGATCGTGCTCGGTGGTGTTTTGCGTGGGGTAATAATCGCGGTCGTCTTCGTCATAGGAAAAAGGCTCCTGCGAGTAGGGAGGGGCAAAGATAGCCCAGAGAGTCAGCGCCGAGGTGCAATGCAATTCAAGATGTCAAAGCTGGAGAGGAGAGGGGAGAAGGCGAGGAATGAGCAGAGGAAGAGAAGCATGTTGAAGTGAGCGAAGAAGAAGAGATGGAGCATGCCAAGTCGAATGAATGGCCAGCGTCTTTCGTCCATGGCCTGCGTTCTTCTTGTTCCTTCTCCCATGCTCTCTATACCCCATTCCAATTCCCCAAAACTCGCCGACGTCTGCATTGCAGCTTCGCGCAACAGTAACCTGCCGGCGGGATCAAGGTGGGATTGAAGCTGTTCTCGCGATGGCTTCCTTACCGAAATGACATCCTTGATGTTGTCCTCGACGACGGACGGGCGAGACGAATTGGCCGAGGGCATCTCAGCCACGCCGCCCGTAGGAACGGCCTTTTCGTCTTCGGCCATGGCCAGTGCTTGTTTGCGAGATCGGTCGGATTAGCGAGAACTGGGGGAGAGCGAGATTGACAGGTCGGAAAAGGCCGTCGGAGAGCGCTCTCTCTCACTTCCCGCGCTCTCTCGTCGCCGGTCGTCTGTCGCGGGAGTCTCGAATTCGCAGGCAAAAGGAGCGTTGGAGGGCCAGCGAGGCCACGGGCGGCACGGGGGGCGAAGAAGCACGAAGAAGCGCCAGCTCGAGGGCCAAGGCTGGACTTGCAGTGAGGTTGGAGAGAAGTGGGAGGGTGGGAAGAGGCGAGAAGAGATCAGATCACAAAAAGACGCCAAGGGTAGGCCGCTGGACGCAGGGACGGGATGGCGGCTTTGGGGATGCTGGGGGGGCTCTTTAGGCCCCGTTCAGTGGACGGAGGTGCTCTGCGGCGGGCGCGGGCTCGCTGTCGGCAACTTTCCAGGGACCTTCTAGGGCTGTCGCCGTCGGCCAGCGGCTATCGTTGATCCGCCAAGCGGGTCTGGCGGCGGAGCGAGAAAAAGGCACAGCGCATGCGGTGCAAAGGGGACTGTGCAGGTACTCCGCAAGTAGCGACGACGGCCACAGACTTCGATGCTTCCCCCGAGTGTAGCGGTGCTTGGCGCCTGTGTTTAGATGTGGAGGACTTGGGCGGTACCTTTTTCTGGGGCCGAGACGCCAGGCGAGTGTGGTGGACGAAGCAATAGCGGCAGTGCGGTGCGAGGACTCAACGTTGATGCTGCTGCTGTAACAGCTTGGCTGCGCCTCAATGCGACAGTAACAGGAACGTTTGCACCATCTGCTGCCGCATCCCAATAGTCTCTTGGCAGTCTTTTTTCTTAGATTGGGGTTGTATTTGACCAGGGAGCAGCAAGTCTATTCGTTGGTGCAAACACTGCTAGGCGGACTTTTATACAAGAGATTGATGGCGTTTGTTGCTTCAATGTTGACATGTTCCCAGTGCCGCAGGACCCCTACCAGCATCTACTGAAGCGGTAAGCTCTGCAGCAGTCTCACAACTCGGCTGTTACATTGACATTTGATGTGCGCGATATCAACCTCCATCCCACTGCCAGCACCAGAAAACTTTTCAAAGCTCCATTGCATCAAACGGGAAGCGGTTCCGCGGATAGCCTATGCCGGCTGCTCCAACACCTGCGAGCCGCAAGAATCTCGGCCTTGGACTTGAAATTTCTTCCTTCTTTTCCTTGTCGTCCTTGTCCTCTCACAAAACGGCAAAATCGGCTCTTTCGAGGCGGGTTTCCAGCGCCCATCCCTTAGTGGCGGGATCGTCAGCCGTGTCTCTCTTTGTAACGACCAGCTCTCCACCGGCTACATGTAGCGAGGCATCAGAAGCGTCAATTGCATCACTCCAATGCTCCGAGGCGCTGTGCTCATATGTAGCGGTATCTACATGTATTGCTACCCTCAAGTCGAGGCACTGCAGCCGGCCTCCGGGAGTAGCAGCAGCAACATCTGGTCAACACCACCACAGCCCTCGTTATACGAGCAACGGCGCATCATCCAAGCCTCACTCTTGGGGCCTCGATACCGGCGCATGAGTGACCCACGTCGTTGATTTTGAATCAAGTGATGGATACGGCCAGCACGAGCATCCTCGCGCCAGTCCCGGCAGTCCAGCAACGCTTCTAGCGGCTCGTTTCGAAGCCTCTGGCCGTATTTGTGCTCGTGATGGGCGCTAGGAGCTGCTACTCGGCTCACGGCAGTCAGAAAGCAAGGCTCGAGGCTCTGGTCCCACCAGATGGCTGGCGATCGGCTTGGACGGCACGGACAGCGCAAGAGCCAACTGCCAGAACAAAGCTGTCAGCAGAGACTCGCAGAGGCTGAAACCGATACGAAGATGGGCAGACTAGATGCGGATCCATCTACCCAATGCTCGGTATTCATTCTTCGTGTCTTGTCTTGCCTCAGGCCACCCGTGCATCTCTCGTGTCCCCATCTTTCCCAGTTACACGACATCATCCACTCTTCTTCGCTAATCGCTAACAACAACAGCTAGGTATATGGAAACCTGAGCCCAACTAGCCGTTTGAAAATATTCCTGGAAAGGACAGCGCCTTATTAGCGGACCCATGGGATCGGATTGGCCAGACCATCAAAAGCCATCCCGGCTGGGGTTGCGTTTGCGCGGGACTCGGCATCGTAGCGCCACCTCCATTCCAGCCAATCTCGCGGCCTCTACGCTCGAGCGTCCCATATTTTTCTCGTTTTTTCGCCATTCTTCTCTTGTTGAGACAATCACTGCAGCTTGTCCCACCGTCCGAACATGTCCGTTCACAAGGAAGTGGTACTGCTTGATACATGTACTTACAGACTCGCCCACCGCCACCTTCTTTGCAGTCAAGGCGCAATTGGCCTTTCTCTTTTCGTCCTGCCCCAAAGACCCAACGAGAGAGACGCACAAAAGATAGAGAGAGCCAACCCCAGCTTCTCGGCTCCATTCTTCCGTCTTGGCATTTCTCCCTGCTGACGCGTTCACACGGTGCCACGGCCTGGCAAGTATAGGCGCTGAGCAGATGCCTGCAGGCCAGTCGACGTTTTATATCCAAGCTGGGGAAGTAACAAAAGTTGGAAACAACAAGAGTATATAAGAAGATGGAAACTGCAAACAGTTCAAAGGCGGTCGACTTTGCCCATTGCAGTTTGATACTTGCAGTAGTCCCTCTTGACAACCAAAGCCACAATTACAGAGTACGCAGTACGGGTACCAAGGACCAAGGTATTGCGGCCTTGACCAACATCGAAAGCTATGCGTTTATTATAGTAGGCCGCCTAAATCATCAGAGTATGAGATTACTCTGTAATATACTGGCGGCTACTATCTCATAGCTGCGAATGGTCTTTGCGTGAACCTGCAGTCGATATGAGATGGTATACCGCGTTATAAGTCGCCTCAATGGAGCATAACCTGTCACTTTCTTGAGTAATCTAGCCAACTTGTCTTGGCTTCAAAGATCAGCAACTTCGTATTGGCTGCACAATCTGCAGCCATGAGGATGAAGCTCATCTACCTGGTACAGCTCAACTTATTCCTCCCCATTCGTTATACGCCTGGTATTGGCAGAGAGAGTGTGTGTGGGGGCATTGCCTCCTAACCTTATGAGTTTCTCATAAATTGCCTTTATATATACGAGTCCCGTCTTATCTCATCTCGTATTTTGTTTTTTCTCTTTACCAACGGCAATCGCCACAATCCCGCTTGCTCGTCGACTCATAGACTGCAGCCATCCGCGAGGATCACGCTGAAGTGAGGCTAGATATTGCGTTTCCTGTTCAATGTCTAGAGCCAAAACAAGGATTCAGGTATAAACTCACAATACCAACAGCAAACGCATCTCAAGTATTAGAAACGATGTCTACTCTCGATAAACATGAGAAGAGCAGCCACTCAGAGGTTGGTCGGAGGGCTTGACATTGACTTTTTGTCCCAGTAGAAGACCACGGTTGGCCTACTTTGTCCACCATCGTTGATGGTGAGATAGCACACACCCAGAGGCTTTCGCCAAATGTTCATTAGATGAACTTGAATCGACAACTCGATCCAATCACGAGTTACGCCGTATGAGAATCCCCAGACACTATCTCTCACGGCTTTTTTACCACCAAACCCTTCCTTCCGATCCTATACTCAGCGTTACATGAGCGCTGAACCTCTCCTCGTCTTAATTCCCTGACGATCGAACATGGAATCCACTACATTCTCGACCTTGTGCGCATTGCGGACTCGTTAATGCGACTCGACGGAATAAGCTCGATCTGAATTGCTCGTTATCACCGTGCCTCCTTCTCTAAATCTCAGCAGTTGAAAGACCTGTTTTGCCTCTGTAGTAAGGAGGGCCCAAGCTAGTCTTAAACCTACAATCGATTGTTCCCTGGATAATAGGATAAAGCCTCAAGAGGGCTGCTGAGAGGCTGGTTGTCATAATAGTGAAGGCGTACGAGCATAAAGGACCCACGTTACTCTCATCAGGCCGCCAGCCATTGTATACGAGCTTGACTACCTGTTTATATGGCCTAATTCTGGCAAAACTCTGAGAGTGAAATGAGCTTTATGAGATGCTTTTAACTCGCGCCCCTAATCTGCAACGTCTTTGTGCGGCAAGACAAGAACTATTCGAACGGCTGTACAAGTAAGAACAACTGTGCCCAGGTTGAAGAAGCCGAGTAGCAGCTTCACGCCAGTGACATCTGAAGTTGTCGGATGTCGTCGATAGAAAGTCTAATGATCGGTATATTTGCGACAATATCGAGAACGGAAATCAGCCCTGTAGCAAAATCAGCAGCGGATAATTCAGGAGATGAAAAAAAATTTTTACCTTTTTTCTTATTCCTTATGCTTGCCTACTTCATCCTTTTGCAGTAGCAAGTGCTGTCCAAGGTCGTCGAAGCCTCAGGAAATGCTTTACGCAGATGTTGAGATGAGTGCGTATTAGCGACGTTTATTGTCATGCCACACAAGACCGAGAATCGGAATATATAAATTGGGGGAGGTTCGCAGATGTAGTAATCACCCAGTGACACCTATGCAAAGCACATCATTACTTTATATACACGATGCGTAAGCGATGTAAAGCATAGTCTTGGGGTACATATACCCGGGAAACAATGTTTACATCTACCCTCAGTACAATGGGCATCGCTCACGACGAGCTTTAATGTCCTATGACCAGGAATAGGAGGGACTCGCTCAGTTCAGGTAATACTTGTCCATTCATAACCACTTTTTCTAGATGGCTCCCATATGCTCTGCTTGGCTTGGCATAAATTGGTTCGTGGCAAGACTTCTCAACTATATTATGAGCTTGCACGTACTTTGTGCTGTTACAGTTGGAGCGCAGTCTCAGTGAGGATAGCAGGCGAGTAACAGATGTGTTGCCCAGACCTGCAGCTCGTCATTTATTTGAGAGAAAACGATGATAGTCGAAAGCACAGCTTCTTTTTCATTTTCAGCATTTGTAATTTGGCAATGACAATGCATTCGCAATCTCTGCCGTTGGCCCCGTTATGACGTGTATACATACCTAGAATATCGTCCGATAGAGCACATTGTGAGTTTTCATCTGTACCCTTAGTTCTAGATGAATCCTCTAGTCAAACAAGTTATACGCAACTTACCTACAACAGCTATCCATCGTCGGTTACTTCGGCTCGCTGCTAAGAATGGCCTCAGTCCAACATACAACAAGACCAGAGCACGTTTGCTTCACGCCCATCAAAAATGGAGATTATAGCATCCTAGCCGCGGCGGTTGGCAAAGCACTTAAATGCTGTTCTAGCCAGGATAAGAAAGCCGCGGTGATAGACCAATTGAATCAAATCTCAGTCTTGCTCTCGCCTACACTTACTCCATTACCCGTGCCGATCAAGTTACCACCAGGCAGGCTATTGACGATTCGCTGTTAGCGGTTATGCGCATCTACTCGACTCCCAGAATGGCCGCCAATCAACGGCAACTCATTCTTTGTTATGAATTTGTAGAACGAAAGAGCGTAGTCTTGATATCAAGATACAGTCACAAGTCAGTCTCTGTTCTTGGCGGAAGGCTATCAAAAATATACCCCAGAGACACTCAGCTTCCGGTCGACAACATCCTTCCTAACAGTACTACTGTGTCTGCCACAATTCTTATCCATTACCCATCTGGAGAGTTTCTCCGTACCGTCACTCGTATATCCCACGTTATTTCTTATATATTCAGCACATTGTTTACCATTTTCGGATTCTCTTTGAGCAACAACACTAAAAGCAACGCTCGTATAGTTCTTTTCTAGTAATTAAAATAAAAGCAGAGGAATATTTTTGACTCTTTCTCAATTATTGCTTTCCAGATATACTTGTTATATGCCTATGCAAGAGAAGCACAGTCACGCAGCGTCTCGTTCCCTGAGAAGCTCAACACTACTGGTCCCAGCAACGAGACAAAGTTTCTTTATTTCTCTTGTATATCCAGATTTGTTGACTCAAGATGACGCTTCTCTATCTAACTCTTTCACGTATGATGGTGCGTTAACTATGTCAGTAAAGTGCGCGATTGAGTGCTCAGTGGGCGACACACCTCATGAGCCATGCCCTATGATTGGACATGAATCAACTAGACTGATGTGAGATTTCATAAAATAGGCATTGTTATAGCTAACAATTGTTTCTCAGCTGCTATAACGCCCTGGCTTCTGAATACTATGAGCTTGTTTATGGTAAGCCGTCGCACATCATGTCAAAGTGCCACTGAACATGCTGGAGTCTAGATACATCGCCACTTGACAGTTATACTAAAATCTTTTTTATAATAAAATCGTATCTCTCATATAAATCAGCTATTTTGCTGTACCTTGTAAAAAAAAAAACTCAGGCCAGTGGACTATTTTATAACTAGGATCAAGCTCTTCACTCAGCACATCCAACTTCACGCCCGTAACTGCATCAAAGCAATGAAGAAAAAGATTGAGGAGGGATATTTTACAGACGTATGAGAAGAATGATGCTTTTTATCTCTACTTTAAACCGTTACATCTGTTTGTTGGTTAAACAGGCCGCTTTCTACTGTTATGAAGAGCAGCATCGAGCTAATTAGCTGTATAGAGAGATTATGATCTCATATATCTCTTACAATTATTGTATTTTGCTCCTTTCATGGCTTATATATACTATGGAGAGTTCTTAAGCGTTCTCTTTCATATTCTCCTTTATTAACAGATGCTCTAGAATAGGTCTGTCAGAGGAGAAGCAACTTCAGACCTTTAGATAACCCAGCACAGGCCCTTAATGCACCATAATTGCAACATTGTTTTATAATTCCACGTCTATTAACATAAACTAAAGGGTTCTGCATGCTCTCAAGATCTATTGATATGGACCTGGGTTGATTGATCAGATTGAAGACATCATACTGCTTTCTGGCTCACATATAACTGCACCAAAATGGCAGTTCTTCTTTGCTACGACACACTATGAAGCCAAAAGTACGGGTTCACTCGATTTGAGAGCATATCATAGTAGTAATCAACATGGATGGTAGTCACAGAGCAGTGAAATTTTGGCGAGTAAATATGACTTGAAGCATGTACGTCAGAAGAGTGAAATTCATAAACAAAATCAGCAGTTTTATGAAAGTTGACATGTATAGGGCTTTGAGAATGGTAGTATGAAGCCAGATCCTGAATATAAGGAAATAAGCTAGATATTATAAGCATTACGGCCATTGCCAACATACTGTGAAGATGGCTCGTTCAAACTTGTTCAAATATAGGGAGCCAAAGTCGAGATTCAGGCGTCTTCTTAATGACTGATCACAGAAACAATGAAGTACTGCAGACTATCAGTGTATATAGTTGTTATTACCCTTGTATGTGACACAAAGAGAATACTCCTCAAAATGAAGGCATCGTCTCGTAAAGACATTATGTGCCATTTGCGAAATACGCAGTCAACCAACGGCGTATTACAAAGCATCTGCAAATCCTACGCCTGTAGGCCTCTCTGTCTTATTGGACAGGCACAGATTCCTTTTTTCAAGCGCTCAGACCTCGGTAGCCAACGTCTCGATTACTGATACGCACATTTACCTTGCCCATCCAATGAGAATCACCCCACGGGGAATGGGTAGGCGTTTGGACACCGGCCGGCAGGCAATCGGTGAGAAACACCAACAGGCCACATGGGGCTCGCCGTGAAAAGTACTCATTACTCAATCTTTGGTGATTTGGCAACTGTGACCGGGCTTTAGGCAAATTGGAGAAAGCCAAGGGGGGAAAACGCCGACACTTGGAGATGATTTGCTCGGCAATAACTGCATTGAAGACAAGACAAAAAGAGGGTAATTAGCCCACCAGTTCCATGCAGATATGCCTGCATCTGCACAGACTAGGACCAGGTCTTCATGCAAAGCATGCAACACGGGCTGCTCTCTACGTATGGGGGTTACATTATCTTATCCTCGAACGCATCCCCATTCGTCATCTGTATGCCCAAGCTCGATCCTTCCGCCAGAGGCCCTTGACATCACTGCAAAGGTCCTCTCAAACTAGATTAGGAAAGATGATGCCTACTTCACGGTGGGTACGTGATGGGAGGATTCAGCGGGAAACAGATTGCGCGATACGACAAACACCGAGACATTTGCTCCAACAAGGCCAGGAAGCAAAGCCCGATGTCATTTTTTTTTCTCCTCATTCAGGTCACCGAAATTGTGCAAACTAGCATTACAACGAGTATAGATTCGGGGACGTGAGCAGGGTGAACAGAGCATTAACCCTGCTGTGGCTTCTTTTTTTCCTCCCACTCTGTCTCCCACTCTCTCCCACATAGCGGATGATTACACGTCACACCACCAATATTGTGCTGGACACGCCCTCCCGTTCTCTTCTCCCGCCCTGTCTAATCCCATACCTTGTACCTTTTTTGCAAAGAAATCAATGTCCTTTTTTACTGTACGCCTTCATTTATCGAAGAGCAGCTTGTCAGACGCCTATCGATCCATCCCGTCGAGAGAGGCACTTACACAAAGCACGAAATGTCACTCCAAAACACCCCCCTCTTTCGCTCTTGTCCGTCCCGAAGACTCTCTTACCAATCACTCAGTAATAGCGCAGGCCAAACGGCTTCCGCTAGCCACATTCCCATTCTTTCTTGAAGAAACCCATTACACGGAAGAGAGCAGAGGTTGTGCCAGCTACGAAACACCATGCAAAAGGCCACCCCCCCCCCCCCCCCCCCCCTTCCAAAAACTGACACGCAACACGCCCTGCTACCGAGTTGGAGTACCTAGTCTCAAAAAACGCGGGCCACGAAGAATCCAAATTACGTATGTACCGCTCAGAGACCGCGGCGTATGGAGACTGTGGGAAAAACGCCATCTCGGGGGCTTCGACCAGATCGGTCCATCGCTCCGGGCTGGCCTCTTCACTCGGCCGAATCAGCCCAGCAGAAATCCGTCATGGTGCATGGCTGACTATTGGACTAGGGCTGGGGCAGAAAAGCAAGCAGTGAGTGGCTTGTTTTAGTTTGAGTGGCGAAGGGATGGCACACTAAAAATGAAACAAGAGAGGAGTCAATTATCCAAGGCATGGCTATTTTGCTGTTACAGCGCCAGGGGTTGATTACGAGCATAGCCTTGCCGTGTCACAGAAATGGTTCGCCGATTCCTCAGCCCTATCAGCTCTCTTCGGGGCTTCTTCCTGTTGTTTTTAAATTGATCAATTAATCAGTACCCTGGTTTAATCATATCTCTTCTTATTTTAGATGCAGAGCAAGGGCGGAAGAAATCGGCTTGGCGGCTCCCAGACAGGAAAGTGACCCCGAGCAGCTTTATTGACACTGTATCTCAAAAGAGAAACTTGAAACTCGGCCTAAAAGAAGCTCTTGTAGTTGAGCCAAGCCAACGGCTTCGCTGAATCGGGAAACTAGACGGGATCACGATACAAAAAGTCTTTTTTACAAAAGACACGGAAAAAGAGAATAAACGGCGGGTTATATGATGAGATGGCGTGATGCTTCGTTGCTTGTTTTACGACTCGACCAGTTGCGGACGCTTCGGATGGCCATTTGCTGTTTATGGCAATTTTAGGCATGGCCTCCATAAGCTGGCCTTTGTCCAATGCTCGTATGTCATCAGGCTTCTAGAAGACTTGTCGACCCACGACGACCAGCTTACTGTACATACGTTATATTGAGCGTACTGAGCGTATGGCTTATACAAGTCAGAGGCGTTGCGGAGTGAGAAGAGAGGGTGCTCTCTTGTTGCCACTTGTCAGCAAGCTCCTCTCATGCCGCCATACTTTCCGCTTTTGGGCCTCTGTCCAGCTCCCCATTGTCTGCGTAGGGTTGCTTTGTAATTGCAGAGCACTTACTCAATCCGTATCTCGATGGAGCGAGATGAGAAGTATAATACCTAGTAAATTCATCATAGCATCAGGCTGACCTGACGCTGGCCCGGGCACCCAGATAATCCGACTTACATGGAGTCAGCACACTCGTATGCCCAACAGAGCAGAAGACTTTTATCTCCGGCCACGGAGTTTAGCAGCTGCTGGCTGGAAGGATTCTTGTCCTGCATATTAAACGAGTCTACTTGTATTAGTGTAACTAGTGTATGCACACCGAAAACAGCAAAATCTCGTCAGCAGAGAAAGGAGCTGTACTAAGCAGCCGTAATAAGCAAACGCTGCAAAGCTGAGTCACCCAATGCCCGGCATTACGGCAGAGCTCCGCGGGTATAGTACGGCAGTGCCTTTGTCTCGGGAATACATAAAACGTGCTCTTCGATTGTTGGGTGACCGTTATGGGAGCAGCAGCAGCACCATAAGCTGAGTATAGCAAAAGCCTGGGATGCAACGGTAGCCTTGTGTGTCGAGGCAATATAGGAGCGGAACCTCTTACGGGCGCTCCATTGGCCGTCATCTCGCCTCCCCTTAGAAGGCAGTAGTCACGGTAGTTGCCGAAGCTGAGGGCGTGTTGAATTTGTTTTCCAATTATTAATGCTGGACATCTACTGACCTAATATTTCAGCGTATACTTGCCCAAAACGGCAAACGCAATGAGCTAAAGCACCAGCACCAGCACCCTTTACAAGATGCAGTACCCACTCCCTACTCTGTAGGACACACAATAGCGGAATACAGCAATGGCATCACTAGTAAGAAGTAGTGGTGCTAATTAGCAAGGCTTTGCAAAGCCTAAAGGACCCAAAAAGTGGCCAAAAAGGGACGCGGGATGAAGGTGGCGGCAGCTCTTGCGTGTCAAGAAAGTTTACAAAGCCCAGACCACCACGTGGATGACGGTGTACGCATAAGGCTACTAGCAGCAAAGACTGAAAGACAAAGAGCAGAGTTAGGCCATGCCGAAGAGGCCAAGAAAAGCTTCCAATGTCACTGCGTCATCGAATGGCAATCTGGCTGTTGCATCCCGCATTCCATTCAAGACAAGGCAAAAGCGCTCTAAACGGCGGACCGTGTATTCAGGAGGCGTGCCAGAATAGCAACAACGTGCAAGTAGGAAGCAAGACTTGACGGCCGCACGCCTTATTGGTCCGCAAAAGGGCCGTATAGAAAAAGGCATAACGGCATGGCAAAGAACTCAAAAAGCAACAGACGGCTTTGCGGATACTGTACGTGCCAGTTATATGTGTGCTTTGAGGCTGAAGACAGCATTGTCTCTTTGTTGCCTTGCCACTCAGATACAGCCTTGAAACAGGGATTATGCGACTTCCGCACCGTTCAAACGGGCATTATTACTCGTCGACTGCGTATTCAGCGCCTTATATACGCAATACGAGTGGCCAACACCAACTCGTCCCCTTTGCGGCTGGTCATCTCACATCTCATTGTCAACAGCCATCTCTTTCTCGGAGCCTGCCTTTCTGGGAAAGTACGTAGCGAATAGCCGGTACCGTTTTACGAAAAGCTCTCAGATCTACTCAAATGCCGTGCCGACAAAATGAAAAGACGTTGAAAAAAAAAATCTTCATCTTTGCTTCTAAACAGGCTTAGCATGCATGCAACTTTGCCCTGCAACTCTTTCGAAAAGGGCATAACTAGCCCCAAGCTGACGGGCGTTGGTCCAGCCCTGCAGCTCGCTCTCTCGTTCTTTCGCTGAAGATTAAAACCGAAAAGGCCATGTAGACCCTTAAAAAAACGGCTTGAGGTCATTCGATGGGGTTGCTGTAGTGCTTACTTTAGCCCAGCAAACAGAGCCCGCACAACAAAAAAAAATACAGGCGTGGGCAGTTTCTAGCCCTCTTCTCGTTTGTTTCCCTCCCACAAGTAGTAAAAACCTTTTTCCTTTTCGAATATAGATTGCCGCGTGGCATGTCATTCTCGTGTGTCTTTGGCTTCGGGGTCCCGATGAGGCCGTGCCGTCACACGCCGGATCTCGAACGGCACCGAACTTTTTGGCTCCCGGTCTTCAGGGCTCCGGGAACCCCGGCATGGCCTCCGGCTAGTTTTACGTCAAGTCCCGAGACGATGGCTGCATAGTTGAGGTTTGTAATTTCCTTGGATGGAGACTAGAAGGGGGAAAAACACGTTTCTTAGCCGTTGGAGAAACATCAGGAGGGTGATGCTTTTTTGTCATCCGGGCTCAAACATCCAACGCAACACGCCCTGGGAACCCAAATTGCTGCTGCCTAGCGAGAAAAGGGAATGAATGAGCTCCACGGGCGTTTGATGAATTACGGTGTAGGCATTGCGATTAACAGGTCATCAGACGGCCGCGTCCTTTTCCTTTCGGCGCATCCAGCGCGGGCGTGATATCTTCCGGCGCATCACCATCAACTCATCGGCACTCATCATAATCTTACGAGGAAGTGCATCTTTCCGTGCACGGATCTCCTGATGATGGAGGCTTTTCTCCGGGACATCGAGTACGTGTAAGTGACCTTGGGTGAGAAAGCCTTGTGGCAACGATGGGCGTATGTGATGCGATACACGGCATTCCAGAGTATACACATGGCAAAGAGCCTCTCTGCAGGCTGCATGTGCTTGGCGGTCACTGTTTGTATACAAGCTCATCCACAAGCACAAGGACGTGCTATTCCTGCCAAAGAAACTGCCAAAGAATTAGCATCCTGCAGGCACCTTTTTCCTATTCCGCTCCAACATGCTATTCGCTCATTCGCTTTGGGTTACAAGATTCTAATCTGCCGGTGGGAGTCATGCGGGTCACGACCAACACACATGAGCAAATCCACGTGTCTCACAGCCTCCTCATCCTTCATCTGCTCTTCCTCTTTGTGGTATTCTTGCCGACTGGATGGCGGCCCAAGGGAGATGGGATTTTGATCTTTACCGAAAAAGAAATGAAAAGTGAAAAAAAAATCAAAAAAATCGGGAGGATGACGAGGTATTCCCGGGGAGTCGATATAATGTTTCTTGGCCCCCCTTTCTCATGACGGATATCGCGGTCCGAGGCGCTGAGAGAGAGTCATGGCAGAGACATTCGCAATCCACTGGAAAAATGGAGAGGCTTTTTTGACAGGACCACCGTAACCAGCGAGCCAGCACCGAGACATGGCATGGCATCTTTTTGCGCATATGAAGGGGGGGTCGTTGAAAGACGGCTCTCTTTTTGGTGTTTACTCTGTACATGGCTACTTGTTGCGTACTGTAGACTACTGTACATGACGGAGACGCATTGACGATACCATCTTAGCTGCACTCTGGTGAGTCGTAAGGATGCCAAGCCCTGTCACGGCTACTGCATTTACCCCTCAGCGTCCCAAGAATCTCTGGAGGACCTTGTCTCTCTCTCGGCTTCCCCTAAACGGGAAGAGTTCTGGAAGCCTTCTGGAAACGTTCGATGAGGGGGGCGTGTAGAAAGAATGGTGGAGGTTTTGCGGGACCCCATATCAGCTAAGCCCAGCAATTGGAGAAGCAGCCCAGGATTCCTTGAACGGAGTCGGTATAGTAGAAGATGTTTTTTTTTTTTTGCTTGGCATGCAGGAAGCGATACTTTCTCTGGGACAGCATGCACACGCCCCCCTTTTGGGGATCACGCTGAGATCTTTGCGCAACAAGGCAAATGCCCCCAAGAACCTAGTCTGCAAGTTGGCGAGGCCGTGCCGCAAGTCGGCGCGTTTCTCGCTAAAAAGGAACTCGGTGCCCCCCTCGTTAGTTGGAGGCACGCACTTGTACAAGTAGATGCTATACAGGCATGTCGAGATCCCTCTCTCCCTGCCCAAAAAGGGGGGCCGATTATGACGGCCAACTAATAACTGCTCCATGACTCGAGCCACTGGGGACCCATTTTAGAGAACAGCACAGACATCTTCTTTGCTGGCTTGTCATCATCAAGATGGGGCCCTTTTTTTCTTTTTCAAAACCTCGTGCTTATTACTTATGCCGCCAGCGTATACTGCACACGCATTACCACTAGTAGTAATAATCAAAGCAGCTCGCGGTCCTGTGCCCATACGAGACACAGACGGACGGGCGCACGGCGGCCAGCGAATGTTTACTGCAGGCTGAGCTGGGCGGCCGAACCGAAACGACCGACCCTATCGCCGGCCCAGGGCTCGGCTTTTACAGACGTGCCGTTTGGTGGCCGAGCTGTGAAGGGCTTACTGCTGGGGATGTGCTCGTAGGTAGTGCAAAGAACTGCCTACTGCTTGTAGGACTGCCAAACAGCAGCTCAACTTATATCAGAGGGGCCTTTTAGCTGTATGGCGTGATTATATCAAACCGCAGAAACGAAGCACCATGGCTCTTCTTACACTTGTCCAAGTCGCACAAACAAAAGCCCAAGACACTGCAGTGCATGCTGTGTATCCGGCCACAGGCAGCAAGGCCGTGCTTCTCTCCTCGTCCCGCTATTCGTACGGCTCACCGGCCACGAGGGATCTGCAGATGGGCACAAAGCCTCGTTTGCTTGCTGTGGGCTCTTTTCCCTGGGTAACAGAAATCGTCTCCAGCAACGTTGGTGTGCTGCCGTGACTCCGCGATGACACGAGCTCGACGCACATTGCAAGTATCCCGTAAGGCGTCTTCGCTGCCATGGGGTACCTTGACCCTGCGTACCGGGATTTCTCCCCCAAAGTCCTAGCGGGCGGGAAGGCGACGGCACATGGCTTTTGCTCTTGGCCCTGAGAGTGGAGATGAGGCGCTGCCCCGCTTGGTGGCTTCTTGCCTTGATGCTGTCTCGTTCTTCAGAAGTGCTACAGAGTTGTCCATGTGTGACTGTCTTTGGAATGAGTCAGGGACGAATCTTGAGGCCACAGGAGAGAATGAGGCTCAGCGGTTGAGTGAGACGAGAAGCAAAAGACAACTGCCGAGTTTGCAATTCCAGCCTCGAGTGACAGACAAAGCCTTGGGTCATGCCAGTGACGATGGATGATGACCGGTGACATAGCGAGGCTGTCTGTGCCCTCCTCGCAAATTACGGCTCTGAACGGCATTGCTTTACGCAACAGGTACCCAGGAAACAAAACATGGACAGGCTGTTGGGAACACTGCTAATACGGCTAGGCTTGCGGTCTCTGTATGCTTGGCCAAGCAGTCGAGTATAGACAGCCCAGGGCAGCCCACGAGGCGGATACTAGAGGTTCCTAGACAACAAGTGCCTCGTCCAACCACCACGCCAGATCCCATCCCAGGCTTCAGACCTCTTAGCGCCGGGCTTCACTTACAAGTACCAAAGGAGTCGCTCGGTTACCGGCCGAGCCTATAATTCTGGCCCCTCCCTGGGAGGTGGCAGTGCCAGCAATGATTACTACTGCTACTTCCCTAGTCGTGGCGTGTCTGTCCAATCGTTTATATTACACCTGAATTTACCGCCTTGTGCAGGGAACACACGGGGCTCTCACATGGGCGATTTTCTCCGATGCTTGGCCATGTCTCAATTCCTGGGGAACCAGACCAGCCCAGCCCATCTCACATGTGCTTGGAATATCCAAACTCCGTACAGTACTATTCCCGGCATTCGCTCACGGCGTCTAACCAGAAACGACATGACATGGCAACCAAAGTGCTATGATGTGGTAAGCGGCATACGATATCCAGAACACCACAAGATGCCAAACCGGAGGGATATCCCACTTTCCTCTCCTAGCTGCCTCTTGGTCTCCAGATCAGCCTTGTCGAGATCAGCTGCTACAGTAGCAATTGCTGACAGCAAAAAAGACGGCATTAATGACGATGATGATGCTGATGCCCACCCAGGAGGGGGGTATTCCTAATGCCTCATACCTCATACCACTACTCCCAGCCCATATCGATCCCGAAAGCGCCAGCAGCATTTCCGTCCTCATCCCATGGGACCATACCAAATATGCTACTATCTCAGCACAAACCATGCTGCCCCCGAAATGATCATCACGGCAACATACGCAAAAACAAAGAGTTCCATGTGTAAATCGCGTGCTTTTCCCATCCCTTGCATCTACATTTTCGGGTAAGCCTCCGAGCTTAGCCCACCCAAGCCGCGACAGAAAACGCGAAAGAGCGAAGCCACGGGATGAAGCGTGAGATGAAAGAAGCAAGTTCAAAGCCAAGAAACTCGTCTAGCGAATCAATGTGTCCCATTCGTAAAACACACGAATCAGCAGCTAGAGATTCAGCCATCCCGATCTACGATGGCGCTACTTCTTACCAGGGGCCCCATTTCTTTTTCCTCTCTCTCTCATTTCTAACAATACCGATGGTCTGAACCGTCATCACACAGTCCCTTGGCCCCAGTCTTTTTTTTTTTTTTTAAACTTGTCCCTTTTTTTTCCTTTGTGAAACCTTGTGTGTAGTAAGTAGCGCGCGCTCCCTGGATGTTGGAAAAAGCCATGCAACGAGATCACAAATTACTATACATAAGCATCAAGCCAAACGCTGGGGGAGGCTTGGTGCTAGGCTCCAACGGCCTGTACGAAACAATCAACAAGCCCAGGGGCGTTCGCACCAGACGGTACCGGCGTGTACCTTTACTCGCCCATACTAACTTACAAGTTTCATTACTATACAGGCCGAGAGACCATCATAACACCCCCACCTACCGACAGCCCGAATATCCGGGCGTCCTGCTGTTTTTCAGCCGCAGGGTACACGAAACAGTAGCAAAAAGCTCAGCTTGCCGATCCCGTAGTCACTCCCCCTCCATTATTGGCTTAAGGTTGGGGAAAAGACCCTCGATGACCTGCGATATGAAGGATACTTGTAAGGCTGACCCCTCCAATCCAGCCTCGCGAGTAAGAAACGCAGCCCTACAAGGGCTTGCATGACTCCTACATGGAGCTAGCTTTGCGTAGTCTTCCTTTGCTTTGAGTACCTAGGTACTCCTTACTACTCATATGATAGCTCTCAACGATGAAAATCCCTTCCATTCTGTAATTTTCCTAAACGTATACGACGAGACTATCTGCCAACTTACAAACGCGTAACAAGTGTGGCTCGGAGGGCTGTTCAGTTTCGGACCAGAGCTCCGGGATATTAATTAACCTTGGCGGTACGCAATATAACTTACATGCCCTTGTCTTTGCCACTGGCCGCAGGGCCAAGCTTTTCTTTTTTTGTCACATCTTATAAGTGACAACGGAACCGCGGAGGGGGAGTGAACTGAAGCGAAAGGGCTCATTAATTTCCACGACATACACGTATACACTACTCCTAGTGCATGGTTCCCGTATATCAACTATATTTGTTCTTGTCTACTTCCTTACCGCTGGCCCGGACTAGGTCCATGGTAGGATTCGCCCATCTTTTTTTGGTAACCCTTTTCCCATCAATTGGGGCTTAATATCCGAACCCTGCTGGGGTAAGATTTGAGAAGGCAGTGGAAAGATAAAAAAAAAAATGACAAACAAGGCAGATCTATTAATCAAAAGGAAAGCAACGCAGCCCTGGCGATGAATGCTACCCTACCAACGTCACTTGGCCTTGCCGGTTGGACGATCTCACAACTATCCCACACCAACATCAACACGCAGGGCCCAAGAAACATAAAAACCGCATCTCCGCATACTAGACAGCATCCACTTTATTTTTTGGTTCTTTTCATTTCCTTCAGCTCCCGATAGCTTCGAGCTGAACCAACGGGAAGCGATGATCCTGAATAAAAAATAAAAAAAGCCCCCTTATTACACTCCCTCCCGTATTCCTCAAAGACGTGCTTGTTAGCTTTTCAGCACGTAAGCTCTTGTTCTTGCGCTAGGCCGTTCAGCTCGGCTTCAGCCCCAACGAAAATCCACCTGCCGAGCAAACGCCACCAAGAAGTTTGCCGTATCAACGGGGGGGGGTTGTTAGATTACAAGTAGATTACGCGCACTCTCCATGACATCGTATTAAAAAATGAAAAGAAAGGGCACCCTCACTCCCCATAGTTTTGGGTTGGAATCGTCCGGCTAAGCACGTGTAAAATAAAACAAAGTGGGCAATTGCCCTACAGCCCCAGCCCGGCCATGCTCATACAACGTGGATATCCGTAAGAAGAGGGGGGGTAAAAGAAAAACGGCGGTGCGGGGGATGAGCTGCTAGCATTTACTTGCCCAGTATTAACTAGCAGTAAGTAGCAGCACGCCTTTATCAGCTATTAGGAAGCACAAGAGCAGAATCAAGTTTCCCGTTTCGGGTCCGAGACAAGCCCCGAAGCCGCGCCGGTCTCGCTCTATCTTCTTGCCTTTATCCATCTTAATTCTCCCTATCTGTTCACCTATCGGCTTTGCTTTTCGGTGGATAGCCAAGACGTATAGGGCGCAGAACCGCAGAAACCAATGAGTAACGCCAAGACAATCACGGACCAGTGTAGATAATCAATTATCCCTTTTCGCTTCTCTCTGCCGTCTTGGCATTGCCACAAGCAGCTATTTGCACGAGCCTATATAGTAGACACAAGTACGCCTAATAGCAAGTAGGCCATTCCCGCTTACCGAGCCCTCAACGGAGCGAGGCTTGACTTTCAGCCCAACATGTCATTTCGCAACTCCAAGCCCTGTGGGACCTCGTCCACCATTAGAACCATAGCAGCGGCGTCCATCTTTTTTTAGGTTATTGGTGGAGATGCAAGCGAAGCCAGAGAAGCGCAGCTAGGAACAACGGCTCCAACTCAGTTTTCCATCTCAGCCTACCGCGGCTTACCTACGTCTGCCACCGTTTAGATTTCAGACCGTCGGCGCACAATAGCTCTGTAACAGGTAACTATCGTCAGACAAACAGACGGATGCTTACTTATCCAGCCCCAAAGTGTGGATACTCGCCGCTGTATCGGATCATCATTTAGGACATCACCAAAATACCTACAACATCTACCACTCAAAAAAATCTCCCATGGTACATAGAAGAATGATTAAGCGATCGGGATCAATGGAGCTATGGCAGCCTTACCTTTTTGCAGACTATCCCAAGTCCTCCCATCCTCTAGTCAGTAAAAATTGCTCATTGCTCGCTTGTACCCGTTTTGTCTCTGCCCAATAACGCAATGCCCTTTGACAACCCCATCCTACCAGGTTAAAAAAGAAAAATGCAATCAATAAAATGAATAAAAACTCGTGTCATCAACGCACTCAGATGCTTCCATTCACATCCCATTAGTAATGCCGCCGCTGCAGCCACCATCGCCAAACAAGCTCTTAGTAACCCTGTAGTCGTGCGAACATACATATCTTCAAATGCACCCCTCTAGCTCGATCCCGACTCATAAAGGAAAGAAGGGAAAAAAAGGACAAAAAGGGCCATTAGTGGAAATGATTGAGTCGTACCCGTTGGGTCTCGCAGGATAAACCGAAAAGGTCGAGAAAAAGAAGACCAGGGCGTGCATGTCCGAACCCGTCCGTCCTGCCCCGACTTCATCCTTCTTTTTATGCTTGAGTCTTTTTTTCTCCTTTGGGGAATCAACTTGTATATAATTCCGTAACCCCCCTTCCTTCCAGAGGCGTGGTGAGGTGGCACTCCCAAATCTTGCCGGGGAGGGGGGGACTCGTTTCCAATTAGGAAGCATCCCTACATCGCCCTCTCCAGCCGTCACCACTTAGATATACAGGCTTATTCATATGAGCAGCATATACAGCCAGTCACGAGTACTTACAGAATCTACTGCCTGACCCATACCCGCACCCGAACCCGACAGTTTGGGTCGCCGTTAATTAGGAGGGGCCCTAACCCTCCGACGAGTCGAAAGGCATGTATACTAATGCCTCGATGCAGCAATTTTTGAAGGAGCCGGGACAGCAAATCCAGAAAGCATGCCCAGAAGCATGGGCCGACGCTGTCCCGGCGTTACATTCAACGCGGGAAGATGCTCCATTTTCGCAAAGGATGGAAGGATTGAGGGGCCGTCCTCATCGCTGGCCCCCCTTGGGACTGGAACCCTTTTCCCATCTCCGGAACGGGACCACGGCGGTGCCCCATCCTCCGTATAAGCATGCCGGCATCTCGTCCACTGCCCAGGTCAAGCGATCTACTCACGAGGAGCGCTGAAGTGAGATGTGACAGCAGTCCAAGCCTGGTAGGGCACGAGATAGGTCGATGGAAGTGCAAGCTGCCCTCTGCGCATTTGCACGCCAACGCACTTAGTTCATCACTCCCGCCTCGCGTGCGGAGTAATCCCGCATGGCATGTCGCCTGTTGGATCGAAAGCCTCCGTTAGCACGTCGTTTCTTCTCCGTTTAGCTGCTGTAGCGTGCGGAGCAGTGCGTGGTAGCGCAACGCCATGGCACGATATACAAGTAGGTCTGGTCCAACAAGCAGCCCTACATACGGAGCATCAGCCAACACGTTGGAGGCTACCCTGCATCTGTTCTAGATTAGCACGGCGAACAAACAGCCACGGCATTCATGTCGCTTCTGTTGGTCGATCAATGACGCGAGTAGGTAGCATCGTATGAGGTTCTTTTGTTGGGCCGTCCATTCCCCTCGTCTCTTTTTCATGCCGACTCATAATCGTCTGTCGTCGGACGGCGTGTATCCGAAGAAGACGTATATCTAGATTGCCAAAACCAGACAGTAGTGGTGGATTACTTCCACTACCAATCTGAGGCAATCTATACGAGCACCAAATCTGGACTGTAGTGCGTTATACCTGACCCGTATATCCGTTATAGTTAAGCGAGTTTGAGGGACACAGATCCGCACCAAGCTTGCCTATCATGCCAAATGGCAAACCTCGATATACATACCGCCATGGTAGCGACATCATACTCGCACGCCCATACCATAGATACAACCTGGCAAATCCAACTCAAATGGGCTCAAGGGAGATACCGAAAAATGTCCACGCAGGACAGCACAGAATGAGGGGCTTTGATGCCACCACCATTGGATCCAGGGCCCGCATGAGCCAGAGTGACTCTCAAGATGTCATCTTCATTACCGTAGGGCAAGAAAAAAAGGAGCCCAAATATTTCCGGCCACACCTTCGCACGGATGTAAATCCTTCCTGCGGAAACCTCCGCCAGCGAATCCGACGGAAATAAACAATGTCGCTCGTGGGCAATATATTAGATGCTGTCGTATAACGTGGCAGGATTTCGTGAGTTGGTCCTGTTCTACCCCTCGCTGGCCCTGCTAGGTATACTGCTCGGTAGTATCTTCTTACACATGCCAGATGCGGCAGCCTCTGAGCCCCTTGCGTCGGGAAATAGCAATGATGAAAATCGGCGCTTTTTTTGAGTCTTTCCCCCCGCTCCACGGAAATAGCAATCAAGGGTTGCAGCCCGGCCTGATATTGAGAGATAACAAGTCAAACAGCGTTACTATCTGAGCGTTGACCATCTCCCAGGTAGACAGCTCGCTCTCATACAGTATGCACTGCAAACTGTATACGGCATCGGGCTAGCAAATCGGGCTGTGCTGATCAAGTCTGAGCAAGGGGCATGCCGCTCTAGACGCTTCCAAAACAGGCAGCAGTTTTACAGTATGCCACAGCAATTCACCGAAGCAATTCAGCGAAGCAACTTTGTAGTCCTGGCCATGGCGCTGGCCAGAGAATCCCACCGCTGAGGTTCCTGCTTAACCCCTGCCCCTTCCTCAAGACCTCTTGTCTCTCAAAGAGACAGCCCATCCTCTCAGCCTCCCAACTGGAAATGAGAGCCAGATAGCCAGCTGGAAAGGGAAAGCGAGCTATGCGAGGCGCTCTGTGCGCGGAAACCAAACCAATATAGGTAAACGGGCAAGTATCTGCGAATGTGCCAAGGCGGTCACTATTCCGCTGGAGCTTCCAATGCTATTACTAGTAGTGTTGCTCTCCTTCAGCCCTGTGGCTGCTGGCCCTACAGCAGCCGCGCACTTACAGCCGCGCGCACTCATGCACCCCCCTTTGGGTGAGAAAAGCGGAAGCCGAGAGACAGAATCGGAAAAGCGAAGGAAACTGCTGTTAGTGGTTGGGAAAGGGTCTCCTCTGCCGTCCAAGCCCAGGGAATGGGGCAGCCTCTGCCATGGCCGCCAGCCAATCAGCCGGGTCTGTCATATTGGCTCCCTCACACGCCCCGAGGCCCACCGAGAGCAGAGGAGTACAGTACTAGTACAAGTACAGCTTGGGGAGGAAAAGGGCAAGGAGAGTACAAAGTACTTGCTTGTACCGACTTGAGTTAGCAAGGGCAGCGATGTTGCCTGCTAGCTCATGTACGTGTGATGTATCTGTCGTAGGCACGAGCTCGAGTCTCCATCCTGCAAAGCCCTACAGCAGGGCTGCTTTAACTCGATTGGGTGGCAGAATTGGCCTAACCCTCATCAACGCAGATTCGCCCCTCTCATCTAGCTGGAGCATGCTTGGAGGGGCTGAAGCCAGGGAACCGCGGCGAGGGACCTTGGGACCTATCAGCGAGCTCCACCCCCAGGCTCGGACCCGAGGCATTCTCGTCCACATCCTTTGTCCGCATGGATCGGCCTATAGGGCCTCATGCTTGCGTACGGTTAGTGCCCAGCCAGCTGAACTATTGCTTGGGTAGGAGCCAATGCTTCCTAGAAGAAGTCATCACGGCAGGCCAAGGGGTAGAAGAGAAACACAAGGCATACATACGCACACGCAGCGAATGAGAAACACAGCAGGGAGCCACATGACCGCCGTCTCCTGCGCCAAAATCATCCTCCCCAGAGCGCCCAGCCGAGATTGGTACTGTCTTACTCACCCTCCTTACTGCCGCCCCTTTGCTGATAGCTCAACGCCGTACAACACGTTATTTGATAGTGCGCGCGCACATGCGGTCAAATTCTCCGTCGACATCCTTAAATTCAACCTCAGCTCGGCTTTAGGGAGCCTGGGCAAGGGCGGCAGTCTGGGAGATTCCGTCGCCTTTAATCCGTTTATGGCATGAAGCTCATGCCGCTTTGGGTCTCCTTCTCCGCAAATTCGCCTCGCTGCTTACTGTACAGCACAGATGTAAGTTGGTAGGGCAGCGTCGTCAGAATACCCAACTCTGTCTCAGCTCACCATCTGGTGCGAGTCAAGACCCAGTCACCGTGGCAAATCTTGCCAGCCGCAATGCCATCATCATACCTCAAATCCGACCTGGTTGTTGCAACCATCCGCCAGGACGGCAGACGCACTGCGCAATTGCCTGCATGGGATGCAGGCAGGGAACTTGTCAAGAACCTCGTTAGTCCGCCACGCAAGAACCCAAGCCACACACACCCGACAGTGCATAATCGCCTCTAAGCCTGGAATGGGATGATATCCCGGGCCGCATTGTTATCAAACTCCCTGAATAAGCTGGACATTTCATTCTGTTAATGAAAGAGAACCAAAAAAAGCTGCCAAGAGCCTAATAGGACTGGCCCAAGTATGTACTTACTGCAAAGCTGCCCAGCTCCTCTGCAGATATCGTCATCAAATGACAGCGCAGTCTGACTAGCGACAACTAGCGAAATAGTCATTCTTGCGCCCGCGGCTCGACGTCTTCACCGCTGCCAGAAGCCCTTCATTCAACGTGTACTCGTGTACTCGTGGTTCAGCGGTGGTGCGACAATGGTTCGATGGATGATGGCAGATGCAATCATGAGTTGATCTGGCCTTTGCCCGCAGGGTGTGCAGCGCTCGCCTTGCCTCCCAGTCGCGCTCCATGTCTCATCTCTAAGACTTCGACCGCCCGCAGTAGGACCGACGTACTCAGAGCCCAGTACAGTAGACCGAGAGACTAAGATCTTCAGGGGGTATCTTGCATCGGAAGGGATACAGCAGGCGATCTGACGCTAGGCAATCCGATTCTCTGCATTGTGCTCCGTACCAAGGAAAACAGAACGAGGCCAGACGCATAAGCCAGTCCCAAGGGCCAAGGGATTCTGGCTAGCCATGGCATTTCCGCGCTCCAACATGCCAATGCTAAGCGATCGGAGGACATGTACACTTGAAGATGCACTCTCCGGTGTACGCCCCCACATACTTCGGACCGCATGGGATGGGGCTTATCATTCTTTTCCCAACCAACTTCCGATGCCCACCTGAAGCCCTTAGTTGACGGGGCCATGGGAGCTCCTCTCTTTTTAGCAACACACAATATGTGGGGAACCCCAAACTTCATATCGGCATTGGTGTCCTTTTTCTCCCTATTAATCATGGGCTAAAGCTGGTTTGATTCTCCCTGATTGCCTGTACCGGCTTAGTCCTCAGAACGAATCGACAGACCGCCGTCTAGAATGCTTCTAGCGCTCTTCGCTAAGCCGTATGCCATCTAGCCTGTCCATCGGGTTTGCCAGATAACCGGGCCATGCTGTCATTCTTCGCCCGCTGTCGTCACGGCTGTCTTGACTCTTGCGTCCTAGTTGCCATTTGAAACGCGGTCGCTTCCGCGAATCCTTTGTGCCGTGTCGCATATACTTGTACTTGTAGGACGCACGTGTACTTGGCAGCTTGCTTTTCCATGTACAAGTAGCTGAGTATGGAGTAGCATTCTATCCTTTTGCACTCGATAATCCGCACCCCATTGACAAGTGATCTCGCCGGGATGCTGGCGTAATGCGCTTCCGAGGACCTCATGACTAACACCACCATCGGCTGTCCACTTGTCGAGCTTGCCGGACTCGTGATAGTCTCTTGTCTCTCATCTGAGGCAGAAGAATAATAATGTTTCAGCCGCCCATCTCGCCCTAATCCAACCCAGGTGTTCCCGGATCAACGATAGAGCTGGCGGCGGGGGGGGGGCGGCACACCTGCGCCGGCAGTTGACACGGCGTGCACCCGTGGCGGCGGCTTTCAAATCGGTCGTCGGAGCACGGGACCCTCTTTTTATTGTCTTCGGACCGTGAATGCATACGAGTGTGCGAATAGGAAGCGGCCGTTGACATCGAAAACGGGGCCTTTGCGTCAGGCGGCTCCAGTCTTTTCCCTTTGGCTCCCAAGATAGAGCCTGTTCCTGAGAGCTGTGGACCGGGCTACGGGGACCTCGACGACATCCCAGTCGCCGACCTCCCAAAACACTTTATGAGATTTGCTTTTGCATTGCATCTTTGAGTTCCCATCTCCGGGGCTTCGCGATGTAAGACGCGGCGCGCTCCCAGCCCAAGTCCGCAATCATGATTATTCTCTGCGGGCGCCTCTGGACTCCATCAGCATGTGCACTGACTAGGCGTGCGAGCAGCATTCGAGGCGCTGAATACCTCAGCAACATGGAGCAACATGCTAACGTTGCCATACTGGGCGGGCCGTGGCTGTTGCGGGCCCTGCATGCTCTCCTCGTTGCACATCCCCTGATTTTTAGCATCAGCAAGGGGCAGGCCATTCTGGCAGACCTTTTCACAGCCCTACGGACAAAGCTGTGACACAGGAGGCGCACGCACGTTTCTGGTGGTGGGGAAGCGTAAATGATAGTTCGCGCCACTTTTCTGAGTCTCCGAGAGCTGCCAGGGAACCTAACCGCTCCCTTGGTGCATCTTGTTTTCCTCAATGATACCATGCTGCATAATCGCCCGGGGCACCGGCCTATCCGGTCTTTCATCTCGACGCTTGTAGCCTTAGCCGCAAAAGGAACAATCTCATTTCACAGACGGGAATCAAAACCAGAAAGATGTGATGCGTCGCTTTGCTCAACACATCCTGACTCGAGAGCTCTCCACATGCTGCCGCTCTAAGAGGACGCCGCGAGGAAATCTCCTGTCTCCCTTCGTCCGATCCGAGTTAATTTTTTTTTTATTTCAGGACATGGTGAATCATTCAAGTAGGAACCGGTATCTTTTTGCCTAGCCGCAAGAGTTACACGCAGGGCACCACATGCCCTTTGTGATTAGCGTGTCTTTCAGCCTTGTGAATCGCTCTCTCTTGGTACAAGCTAGCCTTGATGTGGTAATTGAGCCAATCTTCGCTCCCCGACAGCCCGACAATGGACTGCAGGCTTCTGGAAGCTCAAGCGGAAATCACGGCCGTATTCTGTAAGTGCTTATGTTGAATGACTTTGCTGTCCTCGGAGACTTTTCTTTCTAGATAGATTAATGATGAGACTGCAGCTAGGCAGCACCTAGTTGTCGGAGATCTCGGTCGGCCCAG